TTTTACAATTAACTTCACAAGTAGATACCATACTTAAGCATGTGATCAAGTTCAAATTTTTGTTCCAATAGGTAATTACATTGGTTTCCACGAGAAATCGTGCCTATAAGTTTTTAAACAACTAGATACCATGCTTATAGGGAACAACAACAGAAATTCTACCTATAGATCAAAAATCAGTTTAGTTTAAATAAGTCATTCCAATTCATATTAGTTTACTTCGAAACTGGTCTAATCAATGGTTTGTTTTCCTGAAATGATTCTTTCAAGAACTATCCTAGTTTACTGTTAGAAAGCATCCCTATAGGAATTCAAGAGCGCTTTTTAAAATCTACTCGTTGTTTTACTATATCAATGTAGCTATCATGTTTTAGGACATCACTATTCAGCGTTTAGGCAAGCCTATAGGGTGAGTCTTAAATCCTGTGACTATGAAACTATTTCTGCTACTTAATGTTGTTTAGATTTAACATGCTAAAATTAGTAGGCAAACTAATTAGGACCTTACTGTTGAGTTTATTAAAACAAGGTTGCATGTTTCTGTGCATTGACATTCACTTAGACGTCCTATTTTGGCCTTTTCTCTAAAAACTGATCTTGTTTATGTTTGAAGACGTGCACTTATGTGATATGCTTGAGGAGGTAACTGTGAGCCTCTAACTTGCTTTATATGCAGTCCTAAATTGTTTTTGCCTATAACCTTGAATTTTCTCCTTTTACGCACCTTAGGAGTTGTCTAAAACTGCCTAGATTTAGAGGTCCTAAAATACCTCTAGGGCCACAAGGAAGGGACGGGTAGTGCATACATAGGCATTGACAAGATTACTAGAATACTCGCTCTAATAACCACTAAGGGGGTGGGAAAGGGTAGATATGGGATATGATTACTACGCGCTAATGTCATGTGTAGCCCCTTATTGAGGAGTGTTTACCGAATATTGTGTGGGGTGATCCTGTAGGCTAACCAACCTAGGACCCCTCCTTTCCCAAATTCCTTTGGTTTAAAACTTTGTTTTATATGTACACAACTTGTTCAAATCTTTTGTCTATTATCTGAGTCATACAATATCCAACCTGCTCTTATTTGCAATTGTGTTTAAAACTATTAATTGACTAATTCACAAATATAAGTTTGGCCGGGACCCATAGTTATGGACCAAGAGGGGTGCCTAACAGCTTTCCTTCGAGGTTATTTCGAGCCCTTACCTTAAAATCTCTGGTAATGCAAACCAATCCAAGAGTTAATCGCTCTAGGTGCCCTAACACACCATAATCCGTTAGGTGGCGACTCTTCAAATACCCAATTCCCAATAGGAAATGAGTCATTACCCACCATGTAATATTGAAACCCAGACTTCTTCTCCACAGAGGGAAAAAAGAGGGCGCGACAGTCACCCACTCTGACTCGGTCCCGAATATAATCAAACCCCCAAGGCTTTGATAGCACATGAACACCCTTTCAAAGAAGTACGAGGCTGAATCACCTTTCTTGTAAATCACCTCTACACGAAGCATAAATCCTAAATCTTCCCAAAACATGAACATAAATCCATAAGGCTAAAGATAGCACATATTCCTCAAATCATTTGGTCAAATTACTACTACTGTTTTTTTCCTTAGTCGTAATAACCCACCAGCACACTGATAACCAAACATCGCACAAGTATACAACCACGCAGTCCAATCATAGACGGTGGGGCTCTCCCACTTAGCTTGAAGCTACAAGTACATAACTCTGAGACCCACCGAGGCTCCTTGTTCCCCATTGGCATCAGATAAAAGTCCAACAACGCATTCAAAACACGAAGTCATCTGGCACCCAAATAAAAATCTGTGGACCTAGTCGCTGTCAACCATGAATTTCCGAAATGGCTCCAAACTTTCCTCAAGGCGTGTGACCATCCTACCACTGAACTCATATGTTATTCTGTCACTCTCCCACTTTGGTTCAACCCTCTCCTTTAAGTAACTCCTCGACTTCTAATTTTCACACTTGACCTTCTAGCAATTCAACTACTACAAAACACCTCCCACATGTCCTTCCTTGTACTTCGTCGCCCAATTGGTGCCCCAAATCCAATCCATCTCTGTAACACCCAAAAGAATGATCCGCTACCAACTCTAAACCTCTTAGAAGATCATTTTTCTCGAGCCATCAATAATAGACGTACCAATTCGATTCCGAAATTGCTAAACTCTGTTATCTCTAACAACCTTATCTCAGGCACCATTTCACAATACCCTATCCCCGAAGGCAAATTGAAGAAGGCCATAACATCGGCGAACCTTAACGCGTTCAGCAAGGACGATGACACCACATCACAATTGAGAACTATACCATGCTCGAAAATACCAAGCCTCGTTACTCCATCAACCCAAATCTGAACATTCCTAGTCCGATTGCCTTTCTTCTGTCAAAAATAGAATACTGAATCTCTGAATCATGCACTATGTCAAACCTCCTTTCAGGTCATTCACTGCCTCGACATCCTAGGCAAGCATCCTGCCATTAAGCAAACACTATGTGATAGCAACGCACGAATTGCCATAACAATCAATGCCAAATCTCAAAACCTTAGGTAATACTGATACTGATCTGAAATGACAGGACGACCTTCCGAAAGATGATAGTAATAACCCAATCAAATATGCAGGTAGAAACATCTTGCACCATATCTGTAGTACCATGACAATTCCTCGATTCCCAATCCATAACAAGCGCTTCACGTCACATAAGATTGAATATGAAAGAAATAAAAGTACAAGACTCAAAAGGATCAATTCGCACGATGAGGAATCAAGAAGGGAAGTGCTCATAACAGCCTTGTAGCCTCTCAAAGATAAGTACAAACGTCTCCGTACCGATCCACAAGACTCTACTAGACTTGCTCATAACTCGTGAGACCTAAGTGAACCTAGTGCTCTGATACCATGTTGTCACAACCCAAAATCCATTAAAAGTCGTGATGGCGTCGGACACCATTGTCAGGAAAGCCACTACCAGGGTCAAAACCCTAATCAGGCGGGTCGATATCAAAGGTTTGATTTTTCCATATTTAATGGGGAACATATTAATGATTGGTTGTATAAGGTAGAGCAATTCTTTTACTATGAGCACAATTTGGAGGAAAATAAGGTTCAAACTGCTTCTATTAACAAGGAAGGCAAGGTCCTTCAATGGCACAAGATGTACATGAAGCCCAAAATGGGTAGATTCCCAAATTGGGAAGATTATGTTAAGGCAGTGTATTTGAGATTTGGAGATGTTGAACATACAGATCCCATGGTGGAATTGGTAGCTTTCAAACTGAATGGGAGTGTTCAAGAATTTCTTGACAAATTTGATGAATTACTGAACCAAGTGGAGCTGGCAGAAGAGCACTCGATCAACATTTTTTAGCCAATTTAAAACCTGAGATTGAGGTCCAAGTAAGGATGTTGGGACCAAGAACATTGATGAAAGCTTATACCCAAGCAAGATTGGTAGAACAATCTTTAAAATTACAGTATGGTCACACCCAAGCATTAGTGAGAAATTCAAGGTCATTACTGACTACACCTAGCAATACGTGGGGGTCAAGTTCCAGAGGTTCCAATTTTAATCAAAGTCGTGAACGCACCAGGACTTCAGGGCCTAGCAAATTCAACAAGATTTAAAGTAAACCAACATTTAAAGGATCAAGGAGGTTATCAGCTAAGGAGATGGATGGTAAAAGAGAAAACGGCCTTTGTTACTAGTGCGATGAAAAGTACACACCAGAGCACAAGTGTAGTCGAAGGAAGTAATTGTTTATCCTAGAATTGGATGAGGAAATAGAGGAGTCTCTTTGGAAAGATGAGCTAGAGGAGAATGAAAACTCTTGAGGAATCAACCTTGAATCCTCAAGTTTTGGTTCATGGCCTTGATAGAACTAGTGACTACAGAACAATGAGAGTAAATGGAGTTGTTAAAGGAAAAATGGTTCATGTTCTAATCGATTTAGGGTCCACACATAATTTTATGGACCTCGTAGTGGTCAAGAAGTTGGGTTGTATACTGGAAACCATTCCCTCCTTTTCTGTATCTGTAGTAGATGTCAGCAAAGTCCATAGTTCTGTGATGATTGCAGGGGTCACTTGGAAGATGCAAAGAGTGGATTTCAAAGCTGATATTTCGGTTATTCCCTTGGGAGGAGCTGATGTAGTATTAGACATTCAACGACTCATCACTTTAGGAGATATAAGGTGGAACTTCAAGCAGTTGAAGATGGAGTTCCAGATTGGAGGAAGGAAAGTGTCATCAAGCGGTAGTCAACCTGGGGCTTTCAAAGTAGTAGCTGATGTACGAATGCAAAAAGTACTTAACAAGCCTAGTCAAATTCACATGATGTCGATGGTGTTTATTCAACCCTCTCAAGAAGTATGTTCAGTGCAAGAAGCAAGGGTAACATCAAATTCTCAGGAAGTGCAGAGTTCAGAGGATCTGCAGAAGGTGCTCCAACAATATGCACCCCTTTTTGAGAACCCAACCGTCCTGCCACCCCATTGAGCTCATGACCACATGATTATTTTGAAGGAAGGAGTCTTACCCATCAATGTGAGGCTATACAGATACCCTACAGGCTAAAAGGATGAAATTGAGAAGATGATTGCTGGGATGCTGGAATCTGGCTTCATTAGACCTAGTGTAAGCCCATTCTCTTCTCCTATTGTTATCGTTAAAAAGAAAGATGGTACATGGATACTTTGCATTGATTATAGAAAGTTAAATAATTGCACAATAAAAGATAAGTTCCCTATTCCAGTGATCGAAGAGCTGCTAGATGAGTTGGGGGGGATCAAAATATTTTTCAAAATTAGATCTTAGTTCAGGCTATCATCAAATTAGAATGGATGAGAGGGATATTGAGAAGACAGCCTTTTAGATCTCATAATGACCATTATGAGTTTGTAGTAATACCATTTGGCCTCACTAATGCTCTTTCAACCTTCCAAATCCTCATGAATAAGATCTTTCAACCTTATCTATGGAAGTTCATATTAGTATTCTTTGACTTCATGTCCTCTGATTTGATCTCAGCCTCTGCCTTCCCTTTCTCATGTCCTTCTTCCTCACTAGACTCAGTTGTGCTTGAGGGGTTTGTCCTAATTTCTACCGTAGAATTGGTAGAATTCCTAGGATGGAGAGAGTTGCAAATTGCTACAACTGCAACCTGTTAAGACCAATTAATGAGAAGTTCAGCCTTGGTGTGTAGCATGACGGTACAGGATGTAGATACTATAACTATACCTTAAAAATGGTTGTAATAGGGCTTCCTGTGGGAACTTTGATCCTATAAGTCCCAGAGCCTAGGAGGAAAATCACAATGGAGGTCAATATTGCTATGGTTGAGATGCCAAAACCCCACTGCCAGCCTTTATTATCTTCTACCCACACCACTAATGTCATTGCAATAAGTGCTCCACAAGAAAGGCAAAAGATGTAATAATTGAAAAATGATGATCTGTGCTTCCTTCCTTGTGTTAGGTGCTCATAAAATTGCTCAGCTCCATGTGGAGGAAGTGAGCCTTTTATGCCTCCAACACCTAGGGCCACCAGGTAAAGGCCAGAAAATAACATAGCTGCTTGGACATCATCAACTTCTTCGCATGCAATGTTTCTGTTAACTGATGTACAGATGGGTGGCCTCAGAGAAGGTATGCGAGCTTGCACTGTGACAATCAATAGTCCCTGTTCCAGTGTTTTTCAGTTAGTAACAAACCACGCTACATAAGATACTAATCATTTTTACTGTAGTTGTCAAGTCTTAAAAAGAAGAAAGGCTACTTGTCAGTTTCAATATTCTGTAACATGTTAAGAACTTTCAGAGAGATGAGGCCTCTCCTTTTGAGCACCTTACTTTGTTACAGAAAAAAGAATAGGTCCATGCCTAGGTGTCACCTTTTTCAAGGTGATGAAGTCCTGAAAACTTCTTGGTAAACATCTTGATCATTTCACAATTTTACCTGGTGAAATTGGATAAATGGATTGTATTTATTTTTGCGATACCTGTCTTCAGTTGCATTATCCTATTTGAATTAGTTGTACAGTAACGTTTCATTATTTCTCCAAGAAAAACTAAAGTACACTTATTATCAAAGAAGCATGTCTTTACCATTTCAATGTATTGAAAATGAGCTACCTGAGTTTTTATATCAACCATCATTATGGGGTGAATGGATTCTTTCCCTGCAGACCATATTCAGCATTTCTGATTTCCGATTTGACAGAACTAAGTCAAGACATGTAAATTTTAATGGATGACATTTGTTCTTCAATATCTGCATGGTACCCACCTAGGAGTTGGCTTATTCTCTAACCAGTCACTACAACAAAGGAGTTTAGCAAGGGCTGAAAATCCTTTTGTTCTATGTGTTTAGCCAAGTTATGTGTATGCTTTTGCATTAGATAAAAAGGTCATCTGGTTTGTGAATGTTACTTAACAAAAAATGATATCAAGAGAAAAGTTCTTACCGTAAATTCAATTATTGCACTTGTCAGGTAGATGCAATAAGTGGTGAAGAATGCATCAGATAAGAACCCACCAAGTAGAGCGAGTGTTAGGACCCGGTGGCACTAAACACTACTGCACAGCGGAATAAAATAAATGATCAACGAA